TAGTTTTAATTCATACGTGCAAATATGTAACTCTTTGTATACTTAAGTGTTTGATACTATGCTTTTTATAAATTGCAGTGAAAGTTTCCATTAATTCCAAGATTTCAAATTTTGAACACCTTTTTCATAATCATTTATTGGTGAATTTATAGTGGCCAATCAAAAAAAATTAAATTGCTGATTTCATTGGAGTTGGATATTGACTTAATTCTTAAAAAATGCCTGTTACTGAAATCCATACAGATGGCATTTAGTTTATAGGAGGCTTCAAGAGGTGACAAACAATGAAAACTACAAGTGTCCCCCCCCTTACCCTTATGCTAAGCTATAGTTGTTACACTAACAAGGCCTCGATGCTCTGCCAACACTCTGTTTGCTGCAGCTACCCCATAAGTGCTTCTCCTTCCTCGAGCTGCTCCTTTCAGATGCTGCTCATCTGCTGGTGAAATCAGGTCCCACTAGAGCCCTTCCATTTGACTTGTGGTATATTTTTAAACATTAACACCTCACTACGTTTAGGAATAAATGACTAACTCTGTAACCAATGTTTAGTGTAATGTCTCTTGGTAATGAAAAACAGATAAAACTGAATTGATTCTGTGACATAAATGTACCACTTTAAACCATAACCCTATTGCTATAAGTCAACAGTGCTGCATCTTTCATCAACAACATTGTTAGCCAAGTACAAAATTCCTGCTCTGCTTCTGGGGTACTTTATCGAATTGTAACACTTAGTATTTTGTTAAAATAAAGTTATTGGATTGGTAGAAACATTGACCTCCATGAGGAAATAATTTTAAAACCAGATTTGATATAATTGTTGAAATACTTTCATAACAGGACAAAAGTGAAAGAAAGCTAATGTAAAGGATGAGATCTTTGAAACATCCTTAATGAGTAAAAAATACATTGGATTTAAACCCATTTTAACTAAGTTACTTAAGACCTTATGTTTTGGCTTTCATTTGAAAAGCAAAGATCAAAAGAGATTTATTTTCTCATCTGGTAAGCAAGTTATCCATACGGTGGAGATGGAATCACTTAGTTAAAGTTGCTTGAAAAGAGATTCAAGTGTCTATTAGCAGACTTTTCAGTTTTATACGTATTAAATGGTCTTCCTATATCTCCCGTATCACCACTAAATACAGAAAATAATAACAGAAACACACCTGTGAGAGAAAAAGTTAACCTTTAATTTAAGAGTGATTTCATTGAATTAAAACTTTGTGTGTTTATGACTTTTGAGCTTTCTACGGTAAGATAAACGAGGCGATTTCACCCCTCTCTTTATGTTGCATCTCTGTTAGAAACGAGCTTCATGTCTAATTAGGTTCTTCGATATGCTTTTTGGGAAATATACCAGCAATTCAAGTTTTGTTTGTTTGCTTTGTTTAATATTGGCTGCATTAACAGACAAAAGACAAAGCAAAAAACGTATAAACTAGGAAGAAAAACTCCAAGAAAAGTATATTGCTAGAAATTAAATTACCTATTTAAAAGTTCAGATCTCGGAGAACTAAATATTAACTAAATTTCATAATAACAAAAATTGTTTTTTGCTTGAGCAACATTTCTCTGAGGATATGTAAAAGAAGCAACATTACTGTTAGTGACAAAATGCCTGGTAAATGGGAGCTAATTTTTTCATTTTTATCTGAACATCTGGTAGCCAAGCACTTTAAATATTAAACTGAAACCTGTAGACTTACAATTAAATTCATTGAAATGAGGTTTAATATATTAACAACTTAAAATTGTAATAGTATGAATAATTTTTTTTTGGTAGGACATTTTTGTCATCATACCTGCCATCACAAAGCCTGTCTAAGAATACAATAAATTTGACTTTGGTGTGAACATTTCACAATGAGTTACATGTCCAGTTACCTTAAAGTCCAAAGGTATATGTTTTCTCTGACAGATTTGAGTTTGAATTATTTGGATCATTTTCTAATATAAGCCATAGAAATAAATAGCATACATGCTTAAATGTGCTTTTCTTTGCATTTCTACAACCTAAAGACCAGTTTGGTTGAAAAAAATAAAATTTAACAGCTTTTAATTTGTCATGTGGAATCTGATTCTATGTGCTTTTTATTACCTCCATATATTTATCTAAGTGAAACATAAAATGGTTGTAATAATGGAGAATTTAAAGTAGCTTTTGCACATGAGCAGTAATGCTAACTAATATGGTGAATAAAGGCTGAATGTAAATTCTCAGAATTTCTGTTTCTTGTGATGTGTTTGCTAAAGTGAGTGTCTCTTGGTTATCTGACACAGGCTCCTCATCATCCTAACTAAGCTATGAAGAAGTTTGATGGACAGAATGGAAAAAATAGAGAGTAATCATTTATATGCAATCAGAAGCCTCATATATTATTTAATTTTCGAACTGCAATACAATATACGTTAGATCACAGAACCTGTCAAAATATAGCCCACAGCCCTTCTTTTGCTCTAGTAATGCTCTGGCATTCCCACATAGGCGTCCAGAGAAAACCTAGGTATGGCAGAAATCGGTATAATCTAGTATCACCAGTTCCTGTTGATTCTATCTCATTTATGTCTCTTAAATTGAGCCTGTCTTCTCCATTTCCCTTGTCACTTGGTTTAAGCCTTCAATTGTATTTCATTTGTACTAGTCAGCCACATTTCTGTCCACAGTACCAGCATTTCAACATTTCGGCTCACTTAGTTATTTCTACTAGACTTATTTGCCCATATAACACAGTTGGCCTTGTCACTCCACTGCTCATCAGCTTCTGTCAGCCTGCTCTTAATCTACCATATCAAGTCCAAACCCCTTAACTTAGCATACGTGTTCTGAAAAACACTCTTGTTAGCCTGCACTCAGCGTTCTCTTGAGTTAAACTACACTTCTAAAAACTTCCAGAACTTGTCTCCTCTTCCTCCTGTTTGTCTTCCTCTACTTTTCCATTAAAATGTCACCTTCTCTTCCAAAGCATTCTGAACTCCCTGAGGTAAAAGTACTAGATTCATTGAAGTGTTTTCCCACAATACTTTGCTCATATTTCATTTAGAGAATATACTTTTTAATTATTTTCTATGCCCATAATCTTACAACATTCTGAGCTCATCGGAGACAAAGATAAGTGTGTTCATATTTGTATCTTTAGAATTTAACACAGTAGGAAGTGAATGTTCTCACTAAATATTTGTTGAATGAATGAATGGAGGAATAAATGAATCCAGGAAGGTCAGGATAAAAGGCCAATACAATAACGTTTTTAGAAAATTTGCTGGATGTAGAAAGACAATTCCAGTCATAAAACATCTGCTAATTATTATTCTGAGGTTGTCTTGAGACCACCTCACACAGACTAATATTTTCCTCTCAATTTACTGAATGACATATTTTTCATCAGAATGATGAATCAATAGGAAAATATTTTTAATTTTACATAACTTCAGCCGTTGTGTAAATTTGTAAAAGCACGTCTATTCTATAAAGTAGATATTTGCACTAATTTAATATATACTTGCATGTAGGCTCAGGCCCACAGATCTTGATGTTAAACATTTGCCCCTGTTTTTCTAACTAGCTATCATCTATTTTTATCTACTCAGATATATGAAATCAGGCCATAACCCAAAGAAAATATTCTCTAGAAAAGAATAAGGATTTATGGTGCTTGAATCCTATGAAACCTACATTGGTCCTCAGATTACTGACGTGAATATGGTAATTGATACAAAAAGGGCTAGTGAAAATTTTGTTATCAAATAAAACCTTATATGAAGCTAAATATTATTTAATGTGTCTAAATAGATGAGATTATTTTCATAATTTGTAATTTCATAGCAAAGAACTCTATTCAACACAGCATAATAATAAGCACTGTATTAGGTTCCATGTCATTTTCCATAACTAATAATAGGGTTGAATTATGTAGTAAGGTCTTTGCCAAATGTGTTTTTAATTGTTGAAATGTTTTACATTCTAATATGAAAAGCACATGTCAATATTTGTAAGTTGAAAAGAATAATTTGATGTGAGGGATATATTTGAATATCATAACAAAAATTTCTTTCTGTTTTGCTTTTATGTGTGAAAATGTATCTTATTTTACCTGTATTTTCTTCTAGTTGAGGGCATGATAACTTATTAGAATATGTATAATTAAAAATTGCATTTCTTTTTCATGAGAATGACTTTAAATCCAATAGTGGATAATATAAAAATCTAGTCAACCTTTGCAAAATTACATTAAATAATCATAAATTTAATTACCTGGCACAGAGAAAGAAGGATATGGTCATTGGGTCATGGGGAAAATAAATTTTGAACATCTTACTTCCAGATTAAATACTGAAATATTTTAAAATATATTTTTTCTTTGCAAGTTTTGTTATATTGATGAAATATTGTGTCTTTAATTCTTCCATGCTGTATCATAATTTCTCATTATTGTTCATTAAAAGAGAACAATATCTTAAAAAATAATTAATGGTTATCCCAAGGTTGCTAAATTTTTTATCTTTATAGATAACCACTATTTTTTTAATATGCTATCCAGTCATGCCAATTTCTAATGAATACATAGCCGTCTAGAAAAATTTGGCATATTTAGCTTCATCTCTTTTTTCTCTTGAAGAACCTAAATTTGACTTTTTTTCTTTATGATTACAGAGAATCTGGTCTAAAGACAAGCTGTCTAAGAACCAGCCTAGAATTATAAGCACTAAAATCATATTTTAAAATCTGAGCAACCAATATATAGAAAAGACAAAATATACTTGAATCTGTCAGATGAACACATTCCTGTAATCCCCTCAGGGGCAATCATACAATTTGACACCCATATTTAAGCTTTGAAAATTATGTGATCATCTATTACATAATGGATGGTACATGTCCTCAAACGTTTTCTATCACTTGTAATACAAGACAGGGCTACCCAATTAAAAAAAAAAAAATCCCTTCTGTTATTGATAATTGCCTAAACTACTTCCTCCTTTCCTTTTTCAGAATGAAGAACAAATTTTGGTATTTTGAGTTTGGCACATCTGAAACTTTCTCAGCCACCTGCAAGAAGCTACATGAATCTGTAGAAATAGAGGTAATAAAAATGAATTCTCTTTTATAATACTATGAAATGACTTGAGTTTAGTTATTAATATGTTTGTGGTAACTCATGGAAGGAGTTATATTTGAGCAATCCACATAGCTTAACCATGATTCTAAAATTTCATTTCTCTCACTTATTAGGAATCTTGCACTATCTGAAATACTAGTATAAAGTTAAGTTTGGGTATGAGTTGTTTTAATACAGTGTAAAAGAATGAGAGGTGGAACACAGCTTTAGAAATCAGAAAAGTAACTAGGCATAGTGTGGATAGAAAAATGTAAGATGAAAAAGATACTTGAAGAGAAATAAAAAAGTTGCAAGATACATGAAAAAAACATTATTTTCAGGTCTCAATATCTTATAACCTTTAAAACACAGTTCACTAAAATTGTACTTACTTTCGTGAATAAAGGTTAAAAAGTATACTTCTCCATTTCATTCCCATTCGTTAACTAGCTTTTCTCAGTTCCCGAGGTTGCCATTTCCCCATTACATTTATAGGAAGTGGAAAAGTCAAGAAAGAGAGCAAATATAGCAAGAAAAGATACACTTTAAAAAGATTTGGAGCAAATAGGTCCACCAAAAAGAAAAAGAAATAGACATTGTAGGACTAAAAAATTTGGAGATGGGTGATAATAGAAAATGACGTGGTTTTATTGAGAAATTTTAGGGGTAAAGAAAAAGGAAGAGTTATATTTTGATAAGTGGTAAAGACAAACCAAAGGAATGGGATTATAAAACAAGAACACATAATGACTAGCTGATATGAATTGAGAAATATTGGCTTCAACACTTTTCGTTTTAAAAATAAATGCATAAGTTGTCTACTGAATGCTGTCTACTCAGACCTAAATCATTAGTGGCATATATTCAAGTAATAAGTTTGGTAAACAGAAGTAGTTATGGACCACATAGGATCATAATGGCCCGGCTAGGTTCTTCATTATCCTAGCTTTTTGTGTGTGTGTGTGAGGAAGATCAGCCCTGAGCTAACATCCATACTAATCCTCCTCGTTTTGCTGAGGAAGACCGGCTCTGAGCTAACATCTATTGCCAATGCTCCTCCTTTTTTTCCTTTTTCTCCCCAAAGCCCCAGTAGATAGTGGTATGTCATAGTTGCACATCCTTCTAGTTGCTGTATGTGGGACGCCTCCTCAGCATGGCTGGACAAGCAGTGCGTCGGTGCGCGCCCGGGATCCGAACCCAGGCCACCAGTAGCGGAGCGCGTGCACTTAACCACTAAGCCACAGGTCCGGCCACTAGCTTTCTAATTTACTATTAATGATAATAGCAGCAAAGTGGTACTATTTCAGAATGTAACCCTTTCAGACTCTTTTCTCATCATGATTGGTAGATAAGTTGAAGCATTACAAGTAGAATTGATAGTCATGGAATGAAAAGAGCCCTTCATGACTGAATCAGATCATAACCATGAAAAGGAATATAATTACAAAAGGTGAAGGATTGGGCTCAACTTGGACTTTCTATGATTACTATTTATGAAGATATACATGTGTATATGTTTTATATATATATATACAGTTATATATTTATATAGTTATATATGTGCATATATATTTATAAAAAACATCAAAAATCTTTCTTTACTCTCAAAAATCATTATTTAAAAGAATTCTTTATATAGTCAATTTTGAGCATTTCTTACCCTCAGAAACCTATGCTCAAAGAAAGTCTGTAGCAGAAAGCAAAAATGAAAAAAATTAAAAATGTGGGTTCTGGTTGAATGTAGGGTGAATACTCTGAAGCCTCTTGCTCTTCTCCTTACCTTGTCCTACCACTAAACACAGGCTGAAAAAAGATTAGGAGAGATATTCCACGTTCATGAATAGGAAAAGTCAATATCGTCAAGATGTCAGTTCTTACCAAGTTGATCTATAGATTTAATATAATCCCAACCAAAATTCCAGCAAATTATTTTGTGAATATCAACAAACTAATTCTTAAGTTATATGGAGAGTCAAAAGACCCAGAAAAGCCAACACAATATTTAAGGAGAAGAACAAAGTTGGAGGACTGACACTAACTGACTTTAAGACTTACTATAAAGCTACAGTACTCAAAACAGTGTGATAGTGGTGAAAAAATAAACAAATAAATCAATGGAACAGAATAGAGATCCCAGAAATAGACCCGCATTAACATAGTCAATTGATCTTTGACAAAGGAGGAAATGTAATACAATGAAGCAAAGAACATCTTTTTAACAAATGGTATTGGAACAACTGAGCATCCACAGGCAAAAAACGTGAATCTAGACACAGACCATCACCCTTAACAAAAACGAACTCAAAATGGATCACAGACTTAAATGTAAAGTGCAAAACTATAAAACTCTAGAAGATGACATAGGAGAAAACCTAGATGAACTTGGGCATGGTGTTGCCTTTTTACATACAACACCAAAGCCACAATTTCTGAAAGAAATAATCGATAAGCTTGACTTTATTGAAATTAAAACCTTTTACTCTGTGAAAGAGAAGGTCAAGAGAATGAGAAAACAAGCCACAGACTGAGAGAAAATATTTGCAAAAGACACGTCTGATAAAGGACTGTTATCCAAAATATACAAAGAACTCTTAAAACTCAACAAGAAGAAAATAATCCCATTGAAAAATGAGCCAAAGACTTTGACACCTCACCAAAAAAATATACAGATGGCAAGTAAGTATATGAAATGATGCTCCACATCCAATGTCATCAGGGAAATGAAGATTAAAACAACAATGGGATACCACTGCACACCTATTAGGATACTGAAAACACCAAATGCTGGTGAGGATGTGAAGCAACAGGAACTCTCATTCATTGCTGATGGGAATGCAAAATACTAGAGCTGCTTTGGAAGATAGTTTGGTGGTTTCTTACAAACTGAACATACTCTTACCATATGAGCCAGCAATCATACTCCTTGGTATTTACCCAAAGGAGTTGAAAACTTATGTCAACTCAAAATCCTGCACACAATTACAATAATAAGTACTACTATATTACTTGGAAGCAAACAAGAGGTCCTTCAGTAGGTGAATGGATAAATAAACTGAGGTACATCCAGACAATGGAATAATTGTTCAGTGCTAAAAAGAAATGAGCTATCAAGCCATGAAAAGACATGGAGGAATCTTAAATGCATTTTCCTAAGTGAAAGAAGCCAATTTGAAAAGCCTACTTACTGTACGATGCCAACACATGACATTCTGGAAAAGGTAAAACTATGGAGATAGTAAAAAGGTCAGTGGTTGCCAAGGGTTGCAGGGGGAGGGAGGGATGAGTAGGCAGAGCACAAAAGATTTTTAGGGCCGTGAAAATATTCTGTATGACACAATGATGGTGGATAAATATTATTATACATTTGTCAAACCCATAGAATATACACCAAGAGTGAACCCTAATGTAAACCCCGGACTTTGGGTGATTAGGATGTGTCAATGTAGCTTCATCAATTGTAACAAATGTACCACTCTGGTGGGAGATGTTGATAATGGGGGAGTCTATGCATGTGTGGGAACACGGGGTAATGGGAAATCTCTGTACCTTCCCCTCAGTTTTGCCATGAACCTTAAACTGCTCTAAAAAAAAAATAAAGTCTTAATTAAAAAAAGAAACATTGATCTATACTATAACATTACATGTGTCACAAAGTAAAAAATGTTCATGGAAAAAGTTGTATCATATAGCGAAAGACGTTTGAATGAAAATAAATGTGAAAAACATTGATTTTAAAGTTATAAATGGTAAAGTTGAGTGATTTTGTTCCACAGAGCTTTACATCTTCTAGAAAAACTATTTAGAATGTTCCCCCAAGAAATATGGGCAACTAGAACTAAGTTATTCTTAGGGTTGTGTTTCTACATGCCCTTCAAGTCTGGCTTCCCGGCTCTGCATTTACTGGCTTATTATGGGAATCACTTCAAGAGCATTTATCAATCAGAATGAGTGCTGTGCACTCCCCATTCTATTGTTGCATATCTTGAAATACTGTTATAATTTTACATATTTATCTCAATTTTAAACCTTGGTGTGTATGTGTGTATATGTGTTTACGTGTATGGATGGTAATGCAAAATCTGCTTCTCTACTCACATTTTAATGAATCCAGTCTATCATATTAGCAGAATACGCCTTTCTACCCTCAAGGTTACTTCATAATTAAATATAACAAAAGCAGCAATTTGGAAATTTGATTCTGTTTGCTGTTGCTTCCTATTTGGCCTCAAATTATTCCAACTACGGTTTGAGAATATATAGCTGAGAATGAAACCACTTCAGCACAAGGGCACGTCAAGTAACAGATATATGTTTTATCAGTAGCTTCTTCAAAACAAACATTTGCTGTATGACCCTTTACTTTACATTTCTCTTTCATATAGGAAGCTTTTTCCAAAAGGGATGAATATTTGGAATGATATGAATATCATAGATAATTATTGATATGATAATAGCTAAGATTTACCTATTATTAACTGTACCTCAGGCTTGATGCTAGGCAATGTACATACATTATCAAGATTTAAGTCTTTGTCAAAATCCTAGGAATTAGAGAGAATCTATTACATCTCCACTGCAGAGATGAGCAGATGAGCATTTTATTTAATAATTTAAGAGGAACAAAAATTACGTTGCTGCCAAAATGTTTAAATCTAAGGAAACAAATCAATTGGAGATTATATATATAAATACTGCACAAAGAACTGATTTTAGTTTGCAGATTGTTACGTAAGCACTTTGTCTTCCAAGTCTTTCTTTCACAGTACTATACTTTCTTTCTTCTTTTTTTTTTTTTTTTTGCTTGTTGATTCATCTCCTTCTTTGGCTTTGTACTTTTTTTCTTTTTTTCACTAAAATGTCTTCCTTCGTTAAAAGAGGCATCATTTCATCCAAACATTAGGATGCATATTTGTAACCAAATGAACACCAGTTGTAACCAAATGAAACCATAATGAAACCTAAAGTTTTATTTTTTATGGCCAAAT